GTGTAAATATATGTTTTTATAGTAGTTGATGTTTACCTGTTACTAAGTATAAACGGACGCCCCTACATATGTTCAAGCGCAATGATGTTTTACGTGATGTTTACATTTTCAATTGTTAACTGCAAAAATTGTGGTAAAAATTGTTTGTTCTTTGTTAAAGGCGACGCTAAATACGACATATTTCAGATATGAAGTTACAAAAGTAAATCAGATGTAGTCATTAATAATATAAGCTCAAATWWAAAAATATAGGTTTTACGARCAACTGTATGAGCGAACAAATARRTTGCCCAGAACRGCCGGGGTTTAACTAAAGGGTACCTAATGATTAGTGCGCACAGAACAYATATGTATGTTTCTCAGAATTTGCAGTATTTCACTAAGAAAGTGGTAGATCAAATTGCCTTTTTAACGTTGGTTTTAATTAGTTCGGTTTGTATAGTTTGTTCATTTTCTATAACTATGTATTTAATTGTTTTAATAACGTGTTTATAAAAAAAATGCCAGCGTGCATTCGATTTCTAWTTTTTTTGCCGCATTTTTGCCTATTGCTGCCGACGCCCTTCCAGTCTATAGTCTCTAGTCTACCCACTTTCTTCTCMCTTTTTTTGCGTAGATTTTCTGAAACCACTATGATGCCAGCACAATCAATTCGTTTCTTGCCTCGCATTTTAAACACTTAGTTTAACTAATCTGCCTCTACCACGACCAGATCTTTCAGTTCACTTGAAATACCACGCGCCAGACCAAGTCTGTCTGAAACGTAAGATTTCACTCCACTAACGGACGGATTTGATACCTACAATCCGACTGGAAGAATCGGCACTCGTGCTTGGTATGTTAATTAGTGGACAGGAAAAGATTTAATTCGTCCGATCTGGATCTGTCGAATCAAATCTCTACGTATCTGAACTGTACGGATAATCTGCCCGTGTATGGGGCGCTATTGACTCACCCTTGATCGGTTGCACGCAGCAACTGTTGCAGGAAATGCCCTCATGGCTCGAAGGCACCACTTCCATTTCCGACAAAAGTCCCGTCCAGTTTTGCTGCTTTGGAAAGTCGACGGTAACGTCGTGTCCGTTGGGCGCTATTGCGGCTACCACGCCCACACTATCGTGGGTCACGTAGCCCCATTTGTACCTCGGTGTGGTCACTGTCGGTTTCACGCGCACTTTGTCGCCCACTTTGATGGTGGCAGGTGAGGGCATCGATGGAGGAAAACCGAGCAGTTCGACATGAATGAATCGCACCCAATACGTGCTGACTTTGTGCTGCCAGTTCACCTACAAAGTGTCGCTATTTTCCAGACATTCCGACTCACAAACGCTTAGCTTTGCTCCCACCTGAAGGTTTAGATCGTGCAACCCCTCTCTGTCGATTTTCACCACTTTCCCAATATCGCCCATTTGAACTTCTTCGTAGTTTTTGCAACATCTCACCAGCATGCCCACTTCCACATTATCGCGCACATACATGGCGTATTCATCATTGGACAGGAATTGCGACCGTCTGCAATACTGCGTTCCAGACTCCTGGTTTTCATCTCCCTAAAAAAGCGCATTTTAGTAAAAAGTATCTGAGGCTAAAGCGGCCCTTACATAAGTTCCCATACATTGCCCGATTGCATTGTCATACGAAAAGGATTCGGTGTCGGATTCATAAATGGAGCTTATGGACTCGGTATCTTCGGCTGCCACCTCAGGATGCTCCAACAGCCAGCTGATTACTACCTCTGGACTTACAAGGTTTTCCGGAGCGATGGCTAAAAAATTGCTTTGAAAAAAGTGACCTCAAAGGCAGCAATAACATCAACCTAGAGATTTGATGGCAAATTCAACCGCTTTCTTGGTAAAGCCCATTTCTACAATTTGGTGTACAATTGGGTGAACTACCGGCTCGTCATCCAGCTCCATGCGCTTGCTGGTTTTTTCACTCATCACGCTTTTTATGGAACATTCGCTGTTGGGTGTGGCAATTTCGCTCATTGCTAAAACCCAACCGGGGGATTAAATCTCGGTTAAATTCCCCATTAGCAGCGTAGATTACTTGGCTTGATGCACACGCTGCCCGTCACCGGTTTATCGTTGTTAATGCCGCAAGGAATTTCAAAATTGCCTTCAGCAGCCAAGTACTGGCTGAGGTTCAATGCGGCCAGCTGCATTTCTTGCAAACTGAACCCAGGCTTTAATGGACTTGGTTGGGTGGCTTTCACTAGCAACTTTTGCACCAACAAAACCGGTTGCTGATTGAGCTCCTCCTCTATGGACTGCTGCTCTTGCGACTGGTCCATTCCGTTGACCGGAAACTTTAAAACCTGCAATTTACACCAAACAATCAATTGAAACTTAAGTCTGAAATTAGAAAATCATTTGGCACCTTTCGCAGCCGATACTGATTGGACTTCAGCACTCTGGTCGCATTTAGAGCGCTCAAAATGTTCTGCTGAGTCCTTAAATACGCCAAATTCACCTGACCATGGTAGGATTTACGGTCGTGGCTGTTAAGCGAGCTGTGCCTGATCAACAGCAAGTTGGCCCAGGTTTTGATGGAGCTTTCGTTCAATGACATTTTCTCGAAGTTAAACTCGGGCGCTGGGATGAGCTTCAGATCCTTGATCGAAACCTGCCAGAGTTGATAATCTTATAGTCATTATCCGGTAAATCAATCAATCGTGCTGCTGACCTTGCGAAGTTCGCCGCTGTCGTGCAGCTGAATACACAATCGGCCCTTTGGAGTTACGCGAGTAACTGTGCCAACTGTATTGTCGATTTCAGCCAGAGCTCCCACTCGAGGTCGAACGTCCCAAGCTCCGATCACATTCAGACAAGCCACAACCAGGAAATGCTGCTGGTCAGAATTGAGGGCGTCGTTCAAAGTGGACAGATCACTTAGAAAGTATCTGCAAAAGAGCGACCATGAAGGCCTCGAGCAGAAAGTTGGTTTGCTAAACGAACCCAGCCAGGTTTAGCTTCTGATTCAAAATGACATTAAGAATCTGGTTCCAGCCGAGCACTCCATGCAAGCTGCGCAACAAATGAATAAGCTCCTGGGCCAAAGTGCTGCTGTGGCTTTGCGTAAGCAGAACCAGCGATTTATTGCTGGACAACGGTTTGTTTCCCGTATCATAACAGCACGTTATGATTATATTCCCTGCAACATACTCTAGTCAGATTGGCGGATGTTTTAAAGCGCACATGTCCTTACCCAAAATGTTCAACAGCTTTTCCAGCACTGAAGGGATGTCCGGATTTTCCATGTCCCAGGCCTGCAAGACCGTTTGAAGCAAGCGGACGGTAAAAATCTGGAAACAAGTTAAGGTTCTCTAATACTTCTTGGGTTCTTTCAGATGATTGAAAAGCTGCTTACTTGCTTCGGTAAGTTAAACTCGTTTCCTCCGATGCTATTTGGCGGACATAAGAATCCCAGCAGCATGCTGATCCAAGGCTTGGTGCTGAAGGCCCTGCATAGCTGTTGGGTTTGGCAGATGGTTCGAATCAGTGTCAATGAGCACCAGTCTGAGTTGTTGGAGTTTAGCACAGAACAAAACAGGCTGCCCAGTCCATGAAGAGACGTAAAATGCAAATCGTCATTCGACAATGCTGCGCTCATTGTCAAATTGCGCAGGAAATTTAAGCTCATATCTCGGAGCAGTTTGATGAGTTGGTTGTCTCTGATGAGGTACGAACCTAAAACCCGGCTGTTACACATAAGATGCTTTTTAGGGTGTCTCAGTACTTCTTTCGCATGATTCGTCGGTGGTTTCACTCTCCGAAGAAACTGGAGACGGCGGTGAGGTCACTGTTAAGTCGAATTTTCCTTCCACCCCCATGCGGTAGCTGTTGGTTGTCCCGTTTGACCATTCCACGCGAATCCAGCCATCCTCTCCCAGCTCGCCGATGATGCGGCCTTCTCCAGGCGGTATCCCGTCCTGTAAGCATCAAATGAGGAAATTCCATGTTGAAACTTAGGCCTGAACCCCACCTGATCGCCCCATTTCCAGTCAGCGCCACGCGCCACTTTAGCGCCAATCTTCATTAACTTCGTCAGCTCACTGCCGTTTAGAACCCTAGCCCGCGGCCTATTCACATCGACTGCATCCGCATAGAGAACGTAGAACTCCGAAACTTTCCTCACTAGGGCTTGGTCGCATCCAGTTTGCTTCAGCAAAGCAAGAACCGAAGAGAGAACTCCACTATTGATCAATGGGTTCAGCTCCAAAGCATTGTAGTAGTTGGAGGCCAGGATTCCCAGTAACGCAAGCAGCATTCTGGCTCTGGGAATGTCGCGCAGCAAAGTGTACGTGCCGAGGTTTAACGAAACTTTCGCATTCCCTTTCAGTTTCGAGGCCTTCGACGGCACATCTCGAAGAATGTAATTTCTCAAGTTGCGAATGCACCACTCAACAATATTCAGTTGAGCCAGCAGCATTTCCGTTTTTAGGAACGGCGTTACGAGGTGGATGTTCTCTAAACAGTGCTGTGCTTGATTGTCGCGTTTATCCAGGCCCAGATAGCCATTAATTATTGAATATTTCACCGATGTTAACAGGAACGTTTCGTCTATCAGATGTGTGATCATGTGCAGCCCAGTCTTGCGAATTTTCGATCGTTTCACCTGCAAAGAACGCCACATTCACTTAGGTCTTCACTATTTCAACTAGCTGCCACTCACCTGAAAGTACATGACTTTCCTTAGCGTATCAATATCACAGTTAGATTGCGTTACAAAATCCAGAATCATCCCTATCAGGTGGAGGTTATCGGAGCACACTCTGCTCATTTGCTTCTCGGTGAGCTTCGTAACGATACCTTCAAGCAAACAAGGTACAAGAAAACTGTGTGCACTTTGAAGATAGCACTAACCTGATAGCCGCACATTGCTTTCCAACTTTTTGTCCTTCTCCTCAGCATTCGGTTCGATTCGCAGCGGATTTTCCGGCTTTTCCACATTCCATTTCTCATCCAGTTCGGTTTCCTCCGACATGTAGATCCAGTCCTCCACCGGGTTTTTCAGAGCGTTCGAAGCAAATGGCTCGGACAGTCCGTTTCGGGCGTCACCTGAAAACCTCAAGTTCGCCCAGGAAAAACCACGCAGCCGGCTACTTTACCTTTCTGAGCCCCATTTTTAATTTCGTTGTTCATGTCGTCCGTTTCGCTCTTGCTTTCGGCAATCTTTCCATCGGACGGGGCCTTCTTCATCGACTGCTTCACCAGGTCTTCGTGCGATTTTCGGTCGATGGTTTGCGATTGAATGGTGGCGTTCACAATGTCTTCGGGCTTCTGGATGTCTGACGTGTGCCTGCCGCATTTCAAGTCTTTAATCACCTGAAAACCGTTTCCTTAGTGCTCAGTTCTTTGACGATTATCAGTCTTAGTACTTTTTTGACCAGCGTTCTAACCCGCGGCTCCTTGTATAGAGCGTTGACTTTCTTAAAGGCCTCCATCTCAACACTAATAGCCGGCTTCACTTCGTACAAGAGAAAGCGACATTTCTCCAACAGCGGTATGCAGATCTCTTTGTAGCTCTTATTCGCCTCCTGTCTCAGTTTGATCAGATTCCACTTGCTTTGGTGCACCAGTCGAATCATTTCCGTGATTGATCGCGGCACTCTCAGATTATTCGGTTGAGTGGAATCTGCAACAAACGCTGCACGCTCAGAAGAGCTCAGCAGAATGCCGTTTGCTCACTTACATGCATCTAAAATAGGCAGTAAAACATATCCCAAGCCTAAATGCTTAATCAAAACCGCAAACAGAACCCTGCCTATTTCTTCTATGGGATGTTCAAAAGAAAAATCCACTCTGGTGAGATAGTTGTTGGCTTTTGAATGCTGCTCTATAACCGCTAGAAACGCTATTACGTACTGATCCTAAAGAGAACATCAACGCTAAGTAAAATCGCTAGTAGAGAGGAAAGCATGCACAGCTCACCGACAATCTGCTCTCAGCCAGTGCACTAATAAAGCAGTTTATGCGGTCGATTGGTAGGTGAAAGCTCTTCAGAGGTCTGTGGCTGAGATTCTCTCTGCTGGCTTCCGTTGGCGTGTTGTCAGCGGTGGAATTTGTGCTCCTCGACTCTCCTTTTTCCTCCTCGTAGGGATTGGGTGGTTGTTCCACTTGAAGTCCTCCGCAGAGAAAGCGCGCAGTAATCCATTGTTTCGACTGCCGTTCTTCCTCCTTTTGTGGAAGGCTTTGGCGCAAGTTGAAGGCGTGCAGACCTAAGCAGGAAAAAATGAATGATTTTAACTGCTTACTGAAAATATGTAGGAACCCACAAAACGACTGAAAAAAACCGTAGCTACCTACCTAAAAGGAACCCCAAGTTTCTTTCACACTCCAAGAGCATCGAGCACGTGTACATATACTCCAAATTGCCCCCGACCGCAGCTTCTGGTTCAGGAAGGCAATAATTGCCGACAAGATAGTGTTCGATCGAGGGCAGCAAGTGCGGAAACGACGTGTTTATCACGTGGCTGGCGTCCTTGCCAGTAAACCTCTGAAGGACATCCATAACAGTGGGATTATCGCTGCGGAAGTCTTGCACATCGTAGACGCGATTATTCAACACCAACCATCTGGAACCGAATGAGTTAACTGTAAAACCAGAAACTCTTTGGACGCTGAGGGTCAACGCTTGCCTTCCTCCATCCAGATTGTGGTTCTCCAGATCGGCTTTTCTAATCAATGGTAAATCGTCGTGCAGTTTGTGCGAGAAATTTGGAAGCTTTGACTGAAATGAAGCTACAGTCAAGCCGGTTAAAAGCGAGTATTCCTCTGCTACCTGAGAAACACCAGGCCAACTGATGTCGTCCAGGTCGAGACTGTCTATTTCAGGTGCAACTCTGCACAGTTTATCCATGCATCGGAGCATTTCCTTGAAACAGGCCAGCCAGTCCATGGATATGAGAAACATTTCCCGGCTCTGCTCGAGCAGCACCAGGCTAACGACCAGTTCAGGCAGTAAAACTCCTACAAAATTACACGTTTGTGCCCATTAACACTTAAGTTTATCAGTTAATGAATTAGTAGGAATTATAACATGAGCTTTTAGTACAACTACTGTAATTAGTGCCTTTATCTGTAACCGATGGGTCTCTATATATTGACTGACAATGGAAAGTGCTCAATTAGTGGCAGTCGCAGTTTTGCAACAGCATGTAAGTACATTTTGAATCCCTGTCGCTTTAATTTAAATAAATATTTCACTCAGTATTTTTTCAGTGAAAAATGTCCACTGCCGTGGGTACCATTGTTGGACCAGGTGGAATAGAATCCATTATACACCACCCATCCTTGATATTGAGCCTCCCGTTTAAAATCGTGGCTGCTTTAGGTACGTTTTATCTACAGTAATTGGGCCAACCTAATCCACCCACATTATTTCAGGAGGCGTTGGCGCTATAAGAATGGGGCTAGTGCAATTTCCCAAATTTATCGCCAACATTGCGGGTAAAGTGCTAACATTTCTGGTCACAACGCCCATACAAATTGCGGAAATTCCGCTGAATTTTATAAAAGGACAGAATCTTACCAATTAAATCAGTCTTGAGCACCTGCATGGCATACACGAAGTTTTTTGCGTTAGCGATGCACATATCGTAAGCGATGTTCAACGTTGTAGTTGCATGCTTGCCGAGACATTCCAGGTACTTTGCCAGAAGAGTTTCTGCCGACTCTCTGCACTCGGAATTGTGCAGAAGTTTTCCTGCAATCCCCAGAGTCACAAAGCGCACATGCAAAAATGGACTAACCTTCACCTATCAGCAGCCTTTGAAACCTTTGCAGTAGTTTCAAGCTGGGTGCTGCGTTCGACTTTTGCGACCCACTCCTGCCACTCGAGCATTCCTTCATGGCACTCTGAGTCATAGTGGAACTATTCCTATTATCAAAATCAAAAAATATGTTTCTGGTTCCTTGCCAATCAAACGAAACTTACCGGATTAGCTGTCGAACCAGATAGAGTAGCGGTATAGCAAGTGGTGAAGATCCGATCTCGCAAGTCTCGTCTAGGTTGGCCATCTCGGAAATATCAACGCTGAGAAACTCGTTTAGAGCGTTGTCCAGACCGCGATCGGCCATCAGCGACCACACCAGCAGGTCTGTCATAAATCTGTGCCCGGATTTGCACATTTTTGACTCCATATCTGCAAATACAATCAGCTGCAAACTTAAACCCGCTGGTACTTTAATCCACATACCAGAATTTAGTAGAAGTGTTGACAAGGTTCTGGCCCTGCCCTGGGGTGTGGGAAGCAAAACGAACCATCCAGCTTGGAGAACCGCTTGTGCGGCTGTCTGCACCGTGAGCAGAACATTCGAGCTGCTGGCAAAGTGCACCACTTTGGACTTGATGGAAGCCAAAAGCTTAGAGTTAGGTCCCAGGCCTTAAAGCAAACACCATTCAAATTCCCTTGTCCAATCAGAAATTTTGAGTGGATACGAACACCTACCAAGTACTTTTGGGTCGATGCGATTGTTTATCACGCTGTGAAGTTGGATTTGCAGCAGGTTCAGAGCCGATACAGCAATGCACTCTTTGTCTTGACTTGTTGGCGGTGGGACAGTAACAACGCTGAGAAGCTGATCCAGATACCTGAAAGTTTGCCATTAGCAAACCTTAAATGTGGACTTCAAACCACTCACTTGAAGGTGTTTTCACACAAGTCCATGACAAAGGGTATCTCAGTGAGAGGCGTAAAATTGTTCACGTCAGTCCAGGCAAAGCTTTGCATGGGACCGCAAGCGATGTTAACGATCTGATGCCCTTTAAGGCTCTCAATCACTCGCGGTTGCTGAATGAAGGCTTCGCTGGTATCGGCTGTGAAAAACAAACGTTCATGGCAAACCCTTTAAGTATTAATCGACTATACCTATTTGCCTGTTGTCATTTTTGCCCCATCCCAGAACCACACCATCGGACGTCAACGCCAAGCAATGGGATATTCCAACAGCGACAAATACAACTGCTTTGTCTTGCAAAGCTTCCACCAGCTCCGGCTTTCTCACATTGTCCTCGCTTTCATGGCCCAGTTTCCATCCTTCGCCCTAAAGCAGTAACATCGGCATTGCGTTGTGTGTGAAAAACAAGGTTTTTGCTGTTGACGTTACCTTCCCCCAAGTGTACACTTTCCCTTCTTTGGATAAAGCCACGCTAAAGTGGGGCCCACACCAAACATTTACAATCTCCACCTGAAAAACAACACATGAGCAAAGTCACACACTTCTTTGTCTTCGAAACGTGGGCTTACATCTTGAAGCTGCTCGATAATCCTAGGCACTTTGCTGCCCTCAGCGCCTCCTCTTCCAAGTTTCCCATAATCGCCGTCGCCCCAGCTCAAAACGAGCCCTTGCGCTGTTACACATAAAGAATGAGCATCACCTGAGCCTAAAGCTACAGCAACTATATGATGTTCAGCCAATGAGGTTATTGGAGTGGGTATAAGGACGTCCTCAAAAGTGCCATGGCCCAAACGGCCGTAGTTTCCACGTCCCCAAGTGTACAGATAGCCATTGGACGAAATTGCCGCACTGTAAGTGGCTCCGCATTCGATAGCGATGATTTTTGTTCCGCAGAGCGCTTCGATGACTGCGGGTTCCTCCTTGGCTAAGGTGTCTCCATGGCCTACGAACGCATATTATTGCTTGCTAGTAATAGATTGTCTTTAGCGCTAATTCACCTAGACGACCTCCATCTCCTGATCCCCAGGAATACACCACCCCATGTCGATCTAGCGCCATGTAATGTTTGCCCTCAACATGGGCGGCAATTAGCTGAATTTGCTTCTCTTTCAGAGTCTCAATCTGCTGCGGACACTGAGTCTCCGAGGTGTAATAAACAAAATACACTGAGCCAGAGCATGTCAATAGCAGCACCCCTAAAAGTCCACAATTAAAGATGAAACATGCTTGGAAGGTTTCCTTCCGAACCCCTTTCACTGCACTTCATCTGCCTGATTCCCAGCTCGGCCAAATATTCGCAACCTTGGGGCCCGGGATTAGGAGCCCAGTTTAGCGAGCCCCAAGCCCACAATCGTTGCCCGTTTTTCTGCTGTAATGACTACAAAACATTCTTCATTCAAGCATAGTACACAATTTTCTGGACTCACCTTGTTAAAAGATAGAGGGGGCATATGGGGCTTAGCGAGGCGGTCCAAGCGCGACATGATGTAAACGGCCGCTTGCCTCAAATCAATTTCCACTCGTTCATCAGCAGGCAAATCGAGCATGTCCAGGAACAATGCCGTGCAAGACGGCTGGGACTCCTTTGTCTGCTGGTCTTGGAATATTGACGCGACAAGTGGAACTTCGGAAAAACGACGCAGAAAAGACAATAAAGGGGCGCTGGCCGTTTGAAGCGATGCCCTAAACGAAACCATATTTTTTCCAATTCAAACAATTTAATGCATCAGGAAGTTACTTGTTATCTAGAAGATGCACGGTTTTCTCCCACAAACTCAGCATTAGAAGGACCATGTCCAAAATTCCGCTTAAGACGCCCCGTTGCAAAGCAAACTCCAGAAGTATGTTTAACGAGGTGTGTTGATCCTCTAACGGTATGGGACATTGTGGCCTGGAACCGCCCGATATTTCTCTAAAACAATCGAAACTCAATCAGCCAACAGCAATTATTCCCGCTTAAAACCTACCCTTCCACTACTTGTCTTAAAAACGTTGAAGATTTTTCCATAACTTCCAGCCACACGGGAGAAACGTTATTTTTATCATACAGCGTGCAAGGAGGCAAGATCCTCAGTGCTTCAAGAGATTCGATCAAAAGTTCCGTGCAAAGATCAGCATCTTCACCTGTAATAGATTAATGAAAAGCCAACCTTTAAACTGTCTTAAGCAGACTTACCAACTCGCCAGGCTCGCCTTAAAAATGCAAAGGCAAAATTCAAGGCAGCCCTAGAGCCCACTCGAGCTAGTACAACAACAGGGTCGAGCTGCGAAACCTGAAGAATCAAAATCTTAGCGACTAACAGGATAAAGGATTCACCTCAGTCACCTTTCTGGATTTTGTACTGCTATCTTTGTCCGAGTTGGAACTTTCTTTAACATTACTCGCCACTCTGGCACTTTGAGTTAAAGTTTCCTTTTCCCCATAATAAGGCATGCGGTTGAGGGCAATAAAATATCTTTTCAGAATCAGGAGCTTGTAGTGTAAATGGGTGGAAGATAAAGTAGAATCGGCAGCCTCAGAGCAAAGCATGGACTGTTCGCAATTCAAACTCTGGATGCACTGCCTTAATTCCTCCGGAGCTGAACGATAAGGGAATAAGAGTGATTTCCAGAGCTGATTTTAATTAGAAAAAAGGGCTTACTCGGTTGCGGGCCCCACGCCCACTGGTTCAATTGAGTGCTCGCAAGTGGCAATTTTTCCTTCTTTGCAGCTGATAAAGCGGTCTTTTCAGCGTCCAGATTCTGACATGGAGGGCAATTGCAGCCGGTTAGTGGCCCACAGATTCCATCACAACAGGTGCAAGTTAGAACCTATATAATTATAGTTCAGCTATTTAAGTTCTGTTTTGTAGCTGCTCTCGCAAGGCAACTATCTTACCCTCTGTCCACAATAAAATTTTCCAAATTCACCCTCCTTTGCCATCACTCCAGCAGAGTTAAGCAGGCCAGGAGAAAAGTTTCCTGTGACCTCTCCATCTGAGATCAAGGCATTCCAAGTATTCACCAAGTTTTCATTGCTATGGAAAATGCTCTCCACATTCATTTTCAACCATTGCAGGTCCAGCCGGGGCTGTGCCCTCAGCTGGATGTCTCCTCGTCCCATTATTTACCGGCAAACTTAAACTAAGCCCCGTTTCCTGCCTCTTGAAACCATTTTTTCAAACTAATATGGTTTCGGTTCGATACTGCTCAAGGTTTTGTCAGTTTTCTAATAACAACAGCTGATTTTGACAATAAACTCAACAATCCAAAGGGCATTGGCCGAAACTTCCCACTACTTGCAAATATACTTGCTTGATCTTTCTCTATCCCATGTAGCAGTATTTTCTATCTCTTACCTATGTTGGATAAACTGAGTCTAGGGTTGCTAGTAAAGAAAACTGGACAAAATGGCGAAACGTTACAATACAGTTTTCTTTCCTGTCAGCTCTTAAATTTTCAGTCTCCGTTTGTTGTTCCGTCGCCATTTCGTTTTAATGCACTGTTCATTCGCCATTTTCTTCAGACAAGGAAGGCAAAAATCTACTCTTCTCTTCAGTGTTGTTGTGGGAAAATCAGCCACCCTTGCATTGGAGGTAGAAATAAGGTTATATAAAGTTAACGTTTGTTTTGGTGCTGACGCTGACAGATTTTTAAAACTAACCTGAACCGTATTTTCCCGAAACTGAATGGTTGAAAACATATTTAAAAAGAAGTTGAAAAACCCAATGGATTCGTTGTACGAAGCACCAAGACAACCTCCAGCTATTTTTAGCAAGGAAATGGTAAGTTTCTTCACTACAATCACTGATTTGTGCGTTTATGTTTGTTGTTTAGCTGACAGGTACCCCAGTGGTGCCAGAAATTTCGGTTCTGTGCCCTTCCAACGGCCCCAAAAACGTGTTTACCACTTACAACCAGTGGCGACAAGGGCATGAAAACCCACACCTGAGAGCTAACAAGGAAAACTTGCCCTTTCCCATGTCGCAGAACAGCTCTATTCTGAAAAAACAGGTCCGGTTTGATAGTCCCGTAACCTTATCGAAGCTACCGGAAAATGCACAGTCTGCTATTCCCAAAAGGGAGAACATTCCAAAATTTGAGCACATGTACATGGCTAATATTCCTAGTCGACAGTTAGACCTCAGTCTAATAGAGCCCGCGCGACAACCAGAAGAAGTGCCAGTAGAAGCGCCCAGGGCTCAACAAGAGCCCGAGAAAATCCCCAAGTCATACAAGGAATTTTTAGAAGAACAACAGAAGGCCAATAATCGGGTGCTTAATGATTCAGTGACCGATATTTTCAACTACAAAAGAACTACTTCAGTTGACGCCCCACAGAGCTTCCAATCCAGGCGGATTAGTAGTGGTCCGCCCCCCAGCTGCAATAACAATCCCGATGAATCTTTAAGGCCATTCCAGAGTGTGAGCCATCTGGACTATTTATCTCAAAGGACTGGGAGTCAATCGGTACAAAATTCAAATAATAATCAATTGCGATACGCACATAGCAATGGATCAGAAGCAAATAAATCGGAGCAAAATGTAGAAAATCGGTTTAATGGCCAGAAAAGCTGCTCCGAAGCCGCGAACAGGGCCTTGCCAAGATTAAATAATCAAACAAACTCTCCAGAACAGTTAAGGTTCAAATCGAGAAGCTGCGGCTGTTGTTCGGGCACGGAAAGAAGCACAGAGCTCGAGACAATAAAACCAAAAACCCAAGACGATTTATCGGTTAAAGATCTCTTGCAGATAATTACGCAGCAGAGCCAGCAAATCATACAGCAAAATAACCAGATTATGCTGTTGCAACAGCAAGTGACGGAATTGGTTTCAATGCAAAGGAATCAGGTGGAAGACCAGAGGACACACTGCTGCCAATTCAACAGCCCCCCTACAGATTCTGTAGAAACTATTCAACAGCGATGTATCAGCAGTACGCAACCTAATCAGAATCTAGAAGAGGGAAAGTTTTTCAACAAGATAAACCAGGAAAATAATTGTGTTTCCACGAATTTCTCTATTGGAATGACTACCAGCTATGAGGTTTCAGTTATAAGACCTTCGTTAAAGGTGACGGTATTCCCATGTCCCTGTGCCATAGTAATTACTTAAAAATTGTAGAACTCGAACAACTTCCTGCCAATGAATGCCAAAGACTGTGAACGCAATTCGCCGCAAATTAAAGAAATTGCGGAGCGCGGGAATGTTAAAGACACTCTTGTGGATGCGTCAATGGTATTCAAAGAGCCCATCGAAGTGCGCGAAACATGCCCCAGTCCCGAGCCGAGCATCAAAATCAACATGAAAGATTTCGATGACTCTGATTCGTGAGTGTTCAACAAAAAATTGAAAATAACGCTGGCTAATTGGCGCGATTTTCAGAGACGATAATGACGACAGCTCTTCCCAGAGCGACACTTTCTACAAAAATCTCATGGTAACTCGTCGCAATAATCAGTAGAACCGCTGTCCATGTGTGAGTGTTTCAGGCCCAAGTGAACAAAGTGCTTCAAAAGGCCCATATTGAAACGTCTAAGGAACTGGCGAACATGGGAAGCCCCAATTTAAATCAGAAGACACTTCATAAGGTGAAAGAGACCACCATGAGGCATTTAAGGAGAATAGGTGTCGACTTGCAAAATGAAAGTTCCGGCAATAGCAGGTACGGAATAGCGCTTTATTTTCAAATGTTGCAACTGGCTCCGTTATTAAGTGTAGTCTTTGCCATAGAAAAAAATTTTGTTCTAGCGTACTCGGGAAAGGAGAGGGTGTGAGTTACAATGAGGACGATGTCAGTTTTATGGTCAAACAGTTACTGATGAAGTACCTGCCTGCTGACCATTTGGCCAAACTGGCTGCCAAAGGGCCCCAATATACGCAAAAAGATGTTCCTAATGTAGGTGTCATCAAAACGAGGCCAGACTTTTCCTTTGCGACGCTTCAGTACATGAAAAAGTACAATTTGATCTCAACCTCTAACAACGGTAATAACAAGCTTGTTTGAACTGCGTAAAAATGTTAAAAGGTTTGTGCACCATTCCAGAGGGTCGACAAAAGCAGCAAGCAGGACAATCTCCTAAAATCCTGGACATTTCCAACTTGAAGCAACAGCCGAAGCTTCTATAGGCTGATGAGGAAAGAATGACAACGACAATTATCATTATCTACTTACATTTACTTATCGTTCAAATAAATATTTATCTATCTACAATGCCTTCATTGAGTTTCAGGCTGCTCGAAGAAAACTTGGGAGCCCATTCAGCTAATTAATCACACACTAAACGACTCCCCACATCCACAAGTGCCTTTTATGTTCGGATTGTTGAACACAAATTCTGAACTTAGTTTGTTTTCAACGTAGTCCATCTCGGTACCCAACAGGGTCAACTGTGCCTTCTTGTCTATGAAAACCCTCACTCCGTCCTGCACGACCTCTTCATCCAGCTTTTCTGAAAAAAGGTCAGCTTGAGGTTGACGCTGCCCACTTGGGACTTAACCAGTACCTTTCTTATCCGCATACTGCAAGGTGTAGGAGAGCCCATTGCATCCTCTTTGCCTAACACCGATTTTTAATCCAACCTGCAAGTTTTAGTCAATTCTGAAGGGGGGCACAAGGGCATGCAAACTAGCTCACTTACATAGTCGCTCTTGTCCTTTAACAGCTCCTTGACTCTGCCAACAGCTGCAGGAGTCTGCAATTTACCATAGAGAAAGAAAAAAACAGTTTACAGATTACACATTTTATATAATCGATTTGTTGCAGCTCTTACCAGTGTCAGGGCCTGTCTTGTGGGCAGTAATTTGCGTTTGACTGCTCTCACTGTTGCGGTGGCGACAGTTCTTGCTGCCATTGGAAAAATACTGCGGATTTTAACTAATTGTGCTTCAAAACTCTAATATTTTGGCATCGAAACTGCCCTGCGTTTCAGCAAGTAAACTTGAAGCAGGTTAAGGTCATGATGTTTAAGGTGAAGTTAGAACGTAAACACTGACAAAAAGCAGCCATTGCCAACATTCCTGGCATTGGCAATCCTGGAATGATTCACCACTGACAGGGCTGTCAACGAGGCGTAGATTCGTTTGTTTTTTTTTGTGTTCTTTAGCAGATTCTTGTTCTTAGTTCAATTAGTTAAGGATCGCGATGCCCACACCCTTAGAAGCGAATAACAATGAGATCCGAGCGAAAATCGCGTATAGTGGTGAAATCCTCATCATTTACATCAACTGTACCATTACACTTGAAGAGCTTTGCCACGAAATAAGGGAAATATGTCGCTTTTCCCATGAACAAATCTTCACCATGAAGTGGGTGGACGAGGAGGGTGACCCATGCACAATTTCCACACAGCTTGAACTAGACGAGGCCATCCGGCTGTATGAGATCAATAAGGATTCCGAGTTGACAATTCACGTTTTCCCCAATGCCCCGTCGCAGCCTGGAATGCCTTGCCAGGGGGAGGACAGGAGCATCTATCGAAGGGGGGCGCGACGATGGCGTAAACTGTACAGAGTGAACGGTCACATTTTCCAAGCGAAGAGATTCAATAGAAGAGCATTTTGTGCCTTGTGCAATGTCCGAATCTGGGGCCTGGGGCGCCAGGGCTTCAAGTGCATCCAGTGCAAACTGTTGGTGCACAAAAAATGTCACAAGGCAGTTAATGTCGCTTGCACCATTGATCTTAACAGAGACACGTTGCCACGGGAAGACACTTCCCAGCTAAACAATGGAGAGGCTCCAGTGGCTGCAAACCAAACCGCGAAAGCCCATCAGGACTACGCAAGAGATCTCAATGAAACTCCTGCGGATGTAACAGGCGAATCTGTGCCAGTTGAAGATCCCAACAGGCCGTTGGAAGAGCTGGAGCCTGGATCCCAAAGGCAATATTCCCTGAATGACTTCGAATTAATCCGCGTGATTGGTCGTGGCTCCTATGCCAAAGTGCTGATGGTGGAACTGAAGAAGACCAAGAGAATATATGCAATGAAGGTGATCAAGAAGGCCTTGGTGACTGATGATGAAGACATTGACTGGGTGCAAACGGAGAAACACGTCTTTGAAACGGCTTCCAATCATCCCTTCCTTGTCGGTTTGCACTCCTGCTTCCAAACGCCATCAAGACTCTTTTTCGTAATCGAATTTGTGAGAGGCGGCGATCTGATGTTCCACATGCAAAGGCAAAGAAAACTGCCCGAAGAACATGCAAGATTCTACGCAGCCGAAATATCGCTCGCTTTGAACTTTTTGCACTGCAAGGGCATCATCTACCGAGACTTGAAGCTCGACAATGTCCTGCTGGACCACGAAGGGCATATTAAACTGACTGACTATGGAATGTGCAAAGAGGGAATCCGGCCTGGGGACACAACATCCACGTTCTGCGGAACCCCCAACTACATTGCTCCTGAAATATTGCGAGGCGAGGACTATGGATTTTCGGTCGACTGGTGGGCGTTGGGCGTTCTGCTTTACGAAATGCTGGCAGGCAAATCCCCATTCGATATTGCTGGAGCTTCTGAGAATCCTGATCAGAACACTGAAGACTATTTGTTCCAGGTCATCTTGGAGAAAACCATTAGAATTCCTCGGTAAATATTCGGCTTCTTCGCTCTAGACTGCTTTTGTCATCCGCATCTCTTTCTAGGTCTTTGAGTGTTAAAGCAGCCAATGTCCTCAAAGGCTTTCTCAACAAAAATCCTGCCGACCGATTGGGTTGCTACAGCACCGAGTCCTTTGTGGACATTACAGGTAAATGGCACGAGCTGCAAGAAACGCGTTTACGCAGTCTCATTGCTTTGTAGGGCACCAATTCTTCAAGAGTATCGACTGGGACTTGTTAGAACAGAAACAAGTACCTCCTCCTTACAAGCCCAGGCTGGACTCCGACCGCGATTTGGCAAACTTCCCGCCTGAATTCACCGATGAGCCGGTGCACCTCACTCCAGACGATCCGCGGGTTATCGAGAAAATTGACCAATCCGAATTCGAGGGCTTCGAGTACGTAAATCCACTGCTGATGTCTTTGGAGGACTGCGTATGACACTTTGGAACGCATGGTTGAAGATATGATTTCCATTCCGACATTCCATTAAAAATTTGTATAAACTGGATGATTAGCAAAAAATTGGACTGGGTTAAGTAATTCAATTAATATTTGGAAGGAGCAAAGTGCTTACAGTTCTTTCTTGGGCATTATGTACGATTTTTCTGACCGCTGGATTTTCTGATCTATGTACATATTTCGGGTCAAATATAAGCTGCTTTTGCTCCAGGCGACTAAGATGTGGCTCGAAAATTGAACTTTCCATTTTTGTCAGTATTTATTCCCCGTTTCTATTAGAGAGGACCGTATTATTATTTTTTTAATTAAAGGACATCTTCATATGTTTTTAAGGTGCACACCTAACAGTATTTAAGTACTTATTTTTATTAATATGTTGTTGCGTGGAGGTTTTGTATTATATTCACAGCAGCATCGTTTTAGGGCTTGAACTGCAATGTGCTGACTTTTTACTAAAACGTTTATATACTCTTGTATGGCAATTGAAATATATTCTTATAAATACAGGGGTTCATAGTTTAGACTTTTTTTGAGCCGGTTCATCGGGATCTTCATCGGAGTCCAAGACAATTGGTTCATCCAAGTCCATTGGCTCCGTATTCTCTACCATCATTACGGCCTTTCCGTGCTGTCGGCCAATTGCATTTAAAATCACATTCCTATAGACAAAAAGTCAGCTTTACCATCCGCTGGGTAAATTGATCTTGCCTGCAACATACTTTGGGTTGTGTAGAATCGCATTTTTCGACTGCAGCTCATTCAATCCAAATAACAATCCCAAACTGGTCACATCGTAGGGGCTTCGGATAAACATATGGCTTTCAGCGGCACTTGAAAAAATTATGTTTTTCGATTTGCCGAACGTATGGTAAAGATGTGATAGGTGGATTAGGTTTTTCCTTTTGGTTGAGTCTTGAATGGCCGAGCTGTAGGTCAACTCAAAATGATACCCTTTGTCGACCAGTTGAGTGTAAATCCTAAAAATGGAGAAATGTTCCTCTCAAAGCAAAAGAAATGGTTGCAAACCTGCATACTTTCTGTTCATCCTCAAAGTCAGCTTGTTTTGCGGGTTGAAGCCGATGATATCAGCATCCAAATTGCTGCAGATGAACATTAAAGCTGGCGTGGTCGTGGGTATAACAGCAATGATATCGTACTTTTTAAAGTTGCTAGACTTGAGGTATCGGTGCAAGCTGTCCTGGCTGGCGAATATCAGAGTGAGTCGATTCAGAAAGGTAACATTCTTGACATTTAGGTCTACAGCCAACTTCCTCAACTCCTGCAAATTGCACGGCTCCGGAAGCACATCGGCCCAAACATCGCGCGGTTCGCCTTTCTTTTTCTTCTTTTTGGTCTCTGGATGGGCATCCACCTCAACAACTTGGTTTACGGCTATGGTGCGATATCCTATGAGGGCCCAAAACTGGTGAATAATTTACAATTTCACGAACATAGCTGCTTCTTTTGCTACCAAGTGTTTTGGTCGATCTAAAGGTTCATCTGGTTCTACGCATTAGAACCAATTTAACTCCTTAATTAAATTAATATAAACTAACCCAAACCAGTCGTCACACGTACACTTTAAGTGCAAAGTGGACTAGACTCGCATCGCACTGAGGGTACAGCTTGAGGGATGTTTTACTGGAGAAACTGAGGTAGCAACGTAATTAGATAGCGCTTTGTGAACCCCTAAGCGTGGTTTAACTCCCCAGAAGCTACAGTTGAAAAACTAGCATGTTTACCTAAATTATACAGAGTCTGCAAGGTGACCACACGCACGGCAGGTTCCAAGCACGATTCGTGCACATTTAAATCGTAAAATCCTGTATTGTTCCAGTCAGGCATTTCGTTCGCCTATTGTTTTGTGACAACAATTAAAATTAAATTGTTACAAACACTACACCTGTTACATAACCTCCAATAAACTGTGCACTGTTTGCTCTGTTGCAGTAATTTTTCGTGCTCGTCTTCCAGATTAGTATAACTAGACAACGTGGTACGTGAGCGCTGCAACTAGCTCACACAGATGGTATTGCTATTTCGCAAGTGTAAAAGAGATGTAAGACAATGCGGCATGCCTTAGCTCGTATCCCTAGTTGACGTACCGATTTTTCCACCATATGACATCAAACTGTGATCAAAACAATTCAACATCTGAGCGAAAGGTCATTGATTTTGTCAAGACAATTCCAAAGTTGGCTACTTAAAGAAAACCTTCGGTTTTCCACGAAGATTTCCCGTTTCCATCCATTGGAAGAGGTGCGCTGCTGCATTGCTGAGCGGAAACAGCCCAGCTATGAGCTTTCTCTTGTAAGTATGAGTCACGGTAAATTAAGGTAAAAAAGCTGCAGTAACTATTTTTAGTGCAGCAATCATTTCTAAAATAAAATCTATACCAGATTGATTCGTATTGCATGGGTATCGGGGGTTTTAATGGGTTTGCATAGTCCTGCTTTGGCGGTTTAAGTGCTTCCCAATAGTTCGTAGTTCGTACAAACCATTGAACCATGAGCGATGAAGACGATGATCTGTCCAGGTTTAATAACATTTGTTTTTATCGGCTTTAACATTACATTAATGGCATACTGTGTTTGTGTACTTAATGATTAATGTTTTCCATGTGTGCAGACCAACGGTTTACAAGCGTATTTCACAACAACACGAAAAGTGCACAAACAGTATTGCATTTGCACGGTTTTAAGTCTTGCTTGAATTTTTAAGGCCCTTAATGGATCTCTATGGTGGACTGCAAGTCTGAAGCCATTTTTGCGCTTATTGCTCGAAAATCCTTCCAATACATTCAATAAATAACCGGTTACAGCTGCTCTAAACGCACCAAACTGCAGCATTAATTAAATCATTGTCTGGTTTGAGCTCGAATCGGTATCTTTAGCAGTGGACATGTTATTTTTTACAGTGGGAGCCGTTCATCCAAAACATTTAAGCCAAAAAAGAATATACCCGAAGGAACCCATCAGTATGAATTGATGAAGCATGCTGCAGCCACATTGGGCTCTGGCAATCTGCGACTTGCAGTTATGCTACCAGAAGGGGAAGATCTGAATGAATGGGTTGCGGTGAACAGTACGTGCAGGAAATATATTATTTGCCGCAGAAAAACCAGCATTCTATGATTTTCAGCTGTGGACTTCTTCAATCAAATCAACATGCTCTATGGGACTATAACAGAATTCTGCACAGAGGACAGTTGCCCAATCATGTCTGCCGGTCCGAAGTACGAGTACCATTGGGCGGACGGCCACACCGTTAAGAAGCCCATCAAATGTTCGGCACCTAAATACATTGATTATTTAATGACTTGGGTGCAGGACCAGTTGGACGACGAGACTCTCTTCCCTTCGAAGATCGGTAAAAACCTCGTTTTTCGTAGTCCCAGTTAGTTAGTTTATGGTTTCTCTTTGGCAATAGCGTTTCGCTTAATGCTCTGGTAATTCCATTTTAATCACCTCAACGTCTATTAATTCTGCCGTTTTTAGCATTGCGTAACAAGCGGTCGGTCTCATTGGATTTCCGATTATGTAAATACGCGAGCTTAATTTTTATTAGATAACAAACCGTTAGCAAGACGCCCTATCGAAATAGCCCTCAATGTGACTGAAAACAAAAGTATTTATTGAAATAGTGGTGAAAACTGCTTTCTGGATAGTCAATTTTGTTTCTCCGGAAGCACAGTACAGAACATCATCAGGGTTTTACTAAAACGAATGTATTTCAGGCGTTCCATTTCCGAAAAACTTCCAATCCATAGCCAAGACAATCCTGAAACGTTTGTTCAGGGTGTACGCCCACATTTACCATCAGCACTTCAGCGAAGTGGTGCAACTGGGAGAGGAGGCGCATCTCAACACCTCATTCAAGCACTTTATTTTCTTCGTGCAGGAGTTCAGCTTGATCGAGAGGCGAGAACTGGCGCCACTGCAAGAACTCATCGACAAATTGACCGCGAAAGAGCAGCGATAAAGCAAAATCGATTCGCGAATTAATTATGCTTCATATTTGCACTATAGGGATATGGATCATGGTTGGCTGTTCGGGGATGTTTAAGCATCTTCCATGCCCCTGTCGGTTTTGTTAAATGGGTCTGCAGCCTTGGATTTATGACAATGTGTAGCTGTATCCTCACATAAAGCGATAGTAGAACATCTAGGGCACAGTATCATACAGGGTGTAACATGTTTGGTCTCGTAGATAAGTATTAACGTTCATTTTGTTTCCATTGTTAAGCATTTCGAATTTGTCCCAACTCCGCCTTGGTTTCTATGTAGGGGCATTGCCTTGGATGAAGACGTGGCTATGCGCACTAGAATACCCAATCGAAAGAATATTATACTAGAGATGTGTATTTTTCATACATTTCATAAAAAATCAAATATTTTCACACATTCGCATTCTTCGGTAAGTACTGTACTACTTTGGTTTGCTGATGACTAGTTTAAGCCTATACATACACATAGTGATATAATTTTTGTACGATTCTTTTTAAGTGATCGCTTAGCACGCGGTTTTTAGTTGACTATTATACGTAGAAAGCGATAAGTTTTTGTCAAAGGCTATGATCATTTTACTGTTATTATTTGTAAATATTTTATTAAAACCTTATTACAACTGGAGCTCGACTTTTTGTGCGACAATTCCCACATCGTGCATCACGGAACTTTATCTTTAATCCCAGGATTGACTGGTGTATTCTAAATTTAGGCACCAATCCAATTAGGAGGAAATGTGATTGCGTATTTTTTCAAGGCACAAATCTCCTTCTTTCTAGACGCAGGGGAAGATAAAGACGACTTATATATAGAGTTGCCGGCTTGGCGGAATACAAATTAGATAAAGATGAAAGGGGACGATTGTCTTGGATAGAGAAGGTTCTGGTTAATTTCATTATGTTTTATAAAGAGAATTTTAATCTAGATATTAATCATTATTCAGGGCGATGTCGAAAGGATTCAGATTGTGCAAAAATTAGGCGGCAGACTAGTAGTCGCAATTTTGCCCTGAAGTGATAAAATCATTGTTAGAACGAAGTGATGTTTTCTTTAAAAGTTGTACACCCTGTAGGTTTTCCAAGCAGAATATTGCGGCAATGCTGGCACAGCGCCCGCCGGCCCTAATTTCCAGAAAACCGAAGCAATCCCATAGACACCACTTTAAGGTTGATAATTTGCACATAATTCAGACCAGGGGATTGTATCCCGACACGAAATCCACCGATAAACCGAAAAACTGGCACCGGATGAAGCACTGTATTTGGATGGCGGGTACTTAGGACTGATATTTAGCCCGCAATTCAACTTTCCATATCCTCAATTTAACTTTCAGGGGCAAAGTTTCGCCTAGTAACTCAAAACGTAAACAGTTTTAAGTCCTTATTGGAGTAAAACAATCGGGGGGGATTTCAGTTTCGTGTGGAAACTACGTGAGCGGTGGTACGTAATTTGGAAAATATTACGCTTCAAAGCCTCTGCCGTGTCGTGCGGACGATTATGGAAATGCCTCAGTTTTTTCCCACTAGACCTATATGTAGATATCGGCTGTCATAAAAGTGAACTTTAATAATAATAGATTAGGTTAGATTGAAGTATTTTTTTCAATTGAAGTTCCGAAAAAATCGCAAAAGAAGCGCGTGGAGCGAATGATATGCAAAACCCCGCAACAAATCATGCTCTCTTTTCAACTCTATTAAATTACGTTATAAGAACTGCTTACCAGGAGAGATGCACAATGGTAACACCTCTGAGGCAAAACTCTTTGACACAAGCTGTCAGAGATTAGCGTTTATTTGTATGCGTTACCATAGAAGCGGCATTTTCTCAGCCAACTTTGTTAAAAGCCGCCCATAGATAAAAATGAAATGTTTTTCAACATTGCAGCTTTTATACATTTTTAAATTAAATTCCAAATTCGCTCACCGATGACTATTCCAATCCACAATTAAACAAGTCGGAACAGGGGCGGATCCAGCTTTAAATTCAGGG